TAAGGAAATATGAGAGAAATATTTTACTAAAATAAGAAATTGTTACAGAATGGGAAATTTTTCCTACCATCATTTGTTCCTTTCTTTTTTGCGTCCTTTCTTACTTTGCGTTTTTCGCTTTGTTTACGTAAATACGTCTCCAAACTCGTTTCGTTGTCAAAGTTCTGTCATTGATATTGTGATCAGCAAATAAATTAATTATAATACTCAAAAGTCATCGTATTAATCCAACCTTTTCTGCTGAATTCAATGCTACCGCCTCACTCAATCCAGGTGTAAAAGTAATTTCCATATCCTGTTCTTCCGCGTTATCATTTTCAATTTCATTTAATAAATTTTTATATTTTTGTCTTGCTTCTTCAACATCATCATCGGATTCCTCGCTAGAGGAAGCGATATAAGCCTTAAAATCCATATAATCAAGATCTTTTTTCGTGAAATTTTGACATATAGTTTTGACACGATATGGATCATCACCGTCCCAAGTCAATTTCACACTTGAATTTTGCAATGCCTATATTATTTATAACGCATTATTATATTGATTCATTGAATCAATTGAAAAAAAAATTTTTTAAAAAGCACTTTACATCTGTTACAAAGTTGACAGGTTTATATATTTCAGGTGCTTGGAAGCATTCATCTCTAAAGAACCGATAAATGGTAGTAAATTATTATCCTATTTTATAAAACGATAATGGTAGACTTAAATTATTACTTTGGTTCATCATTAAATTCCATATTATCGGGTATAAAGCGAAGATCAAAGAAGTTGGCAGTACTTTCAAATTCCGCTCCATCACATTGTTGGTAAATATGACGAGCAGTTTCAACAGTATCGCAGTCGACAACAGCGTAATAATATCTATATAACTGAATTCAATTAAATGATCTAAAATAATTTCTTATGAGAATTAACTGATCTACTAACTTTAGTCGATCCAACTGATATCTTCTTAACTCTTCTGTATCAAATTCTTCTCCATTATCGTTAATAATGATAGCGTTTGTATCTACATTATCATCATCATCATCATTTGAAGATTCATGATTTTCAGCGGATTTAAATATTTCCTTTGGTGGACCTTCTCGTGTTTCCTAGCGTAAGAGAAAAAAATAATATAATTATGGTTGTATTTTTGAAAAATATTATTAAAAGTGATAATAAATTTACCTTTTCTATCCGTTCCTTACCAAATTCCGATGGATAAATTTTTATGGATCTTATGATAGACCCATCTGATTTAAAACCATTAAACACTTTCATAAGATCGGATGCCTTTACATTATCCCAATCAAGGTTGACTACCGCAAGTCGATGAGTTTCGTCTCCTAATGGAACCTCCTCATGATATTCATCGGATTCTTGCTCAATTAATTCTTCGTTTTCTACTTCGTTATCTGACGACTCATAAGCACCTTCACCTCTAGCGTGGTCAAAGGCCGGTAAATCATTATTTTCAATGTCTGTCTCTTCCTCTGTAGTCGCATGATTCTGTTCTTCATCACTTTCTGAGGATTCGCTTTTACTTTTAAACTCGTCATCCCTTAATTTATAATATCGCTGTAGTTCTTTAGCAACTTTATCTGATGAAATCGGTCTCCCATATTTATCAACCTTAGCTTAAAGGAAAGATAATTATATTATAATGAGAACAAAATAAATTTAAACTCCGAGTAACAACAATAAACTTACGAGTATCGCTAAACTCTTTATTAGTTAGCATATGAGCGAAACGTTCGTCTAAAGTGATTTTTACGTCCTTTTTCTTCGGGCGGGTAAACCTCGGGTCTTTTCGTACATGAGCAAAGCGCGGATCTTCAGATGTTATCGCATTATTTTGAAACTTTGATTTTTCTCGTTTTTTATTCTTCGTCATTGTGAAAGCGTGTATAACAAAAAAAAAAAATTAATTTTTTATGATAAGATCTAAATATCTAATTATATAATCAATCATAACGTCGTGTAACAAAAAAATTTCAGATGACGCAATGCAATTCTCCATAATAAAAAAATTCGAGATTTTTTCGATTAATAAAAAGATAATTATTTTAATTTCCAATGGAAGAAATCGGCATAGCGATCAAACCTGAGGTTTGTTTACCCAGTTCGATTATTTTAAAGAATATTTTTTTCGTAGCGTTCGTTTAAAACTTACGGAAAAACGCGTTTTGTCATATCCTTTTCATTTTTTGAAGGAGACGATTCCCATCACTACAGAGACGAGCGAAATACTTGAAGAATTAAGTGAAGAGGATTTATACACAAAACTTAAAAAACTTCAAAGACATCTCGAATTTTTAGAGTTGCAAGAAGAGTACATAAAAGATGAACAAAAGAATTTAAAACGTGAATTAATCCGGGCTCAAGAAGAAGTTAAAAGAATTCAGTCCGTACCTTTGGTGATTGGACAATTCTTGGAACCGATCGATCAACACACAGGAATTGTAGGCTCTACGACAGGATCTAATTATGTTGTTCGAATTCTCAGCACAATTGATCGTGAATTATTAAAACCGTCCTCTTCAGTAGCACTTCATCGTCACTCAAATTCATTAGTTGATGTGTTACCTCCAGAGGCCGATAGTAGCATTGCCATGCTTGGAGCAGATGAAAAGCCTGATGTAACATATTCAGATGTTGGAGGGCTTGACATTCAAAAACAAGAAATTCGGGAAGCAGTAGAACTTCCATTGACACACTTTGATTTGTATAGACAAATTGGAATTGATCCTCCAAGGGGTGTTTTGTTATATGGTCCACCAGGAACAGGAAAAACTATGCTTGTAAAAGCTGTTGCTCATCATACCACTGCTTCTTTTATCCGAGTTGTCGGCTCCGAATTTGTTCAAAAATATTTAGGTGAGGGACCTCGTATGGTTCGTGATGTGTTTCGATTGGCTCGCGAAAATTCACCATCCATCATTTTTATCGATGAGATTGATGCAATCGCTACCAAACGATTTGATGCGCAAACTGGTGCTGATCGTGAAGTACAAAGGATTCTTTTGGAGTTATTAAATCAGATGGATGGGTTTGATCAAACATCAAATGTGAAGGTAAAGAAACATCAGCAAAAATTTACTCGAATTGTGACGTTTCCGAATTGCTTAGTAGATTACAACTTATTATTTAAATAGGTCATTATGGCTACAAATCGCGCTGACACATTAGATCCGGCTTTGCTGAGACCCGGACGTCTCGATCGAAAGATTGAATTTCCTACTCCTGATAGACGTCAAAAGCGTTTAATCTTTTCTACAATTACTTCTAATATGAATCTTTCCGAGGAAGTTGACCTCGAAGATTGTATGTTACATGCATTTTTTTTTTTTTTTTTAATTATAATTATACATTTTATAATTCACATCCTAATGATTCTACAATTCATAATACTTTCTTAGTCATATCTCGACCAGATAAACTTAGTGGTGCCGAAATTCATGCTATCTGTCAAGAGGCCGGTATGCAAGCTGTCCGAAAGAATCGTTATGTTATTCTTAGTAAAGATATAGAAAAGGGATATAAAGCCAATGTTAAGAAGGCCGATACAGATTTTGAATTTTACAAATAAAGAAATCTCAGTATTACAAATGATGGTAGGAAAAATTTCCCATTCTGTAACAATTTCTTATTTTAGTAAAATATTTCTCTCATATTTCCTTA